CTGAGACACAAGAAAGCCACTTCAAATTCAGCACCAAGGACAGCACCCTGCCAGTCAGAACTGCTGTTGTATTCATTAAGAAAGCATCCATGGTGCTGAGCATCTTCTCATATGTCTATGGGCCATCCGTACGTCGTTCTGGGAGAAATGTCTGTTCAGGTCCATCACCCATTTTTTAATTGGGATTGTTTGTTTTCCTGCTGTTCATAGGAGTTCTTTACATATTTTGGAGATTAAACCCTTGTCCGATGTATCATTGGCAAATATGTTCTCCCAACATCACTAGCCATCAGAGAGACGCAAATTAAAACCACAATGAGACATCACCTCACATCTGTCAGAATGGTGATAATTAATTACAAACAACATTAATCAATCAACAAATAAGTGCTGGCGTGGATGTGGCGAAAAGGGAACCCTAGTGCACTGTTGGTGGGAATACAGAGTGGTATAGCCACTGTGGAAAACAGTGTGGAGTTTCCTCAAAAAAATTAAAAATGGAACTGCCCTTTGCACCAGCAATTTCACTGCTTGGAATATACCCTAAAAATCCCGAATCAAAAATTCAATAGTATTCTATGCATCCCTATGTTCATAGCAGTGCTGTTTACAATAGCCAAGTACACTGGAAACAGCTTAAATGCCCATCAGTAAACTAGTGGATCAAATTCACTCATTTGAAATGTGGTACATTCATGCAATGGAATACTATGCAGCAGAAAGAAAAGAGGAGCTCCTACCCTTTGCAACAGCATGGCTAGAACTAGAGACTATTATGCTAAGTGAAATACGCCAAAGATAAACACCATATAATCTTACTTATAAGAGGAATTTAATGAATAAAATAAACCAACGAGCAAGATAGGACCAGAGACAAGGAAACGTGGAACAGACTGACAGCTGTCAGAGGAAAGGGGGGAGGGGGATGGTGGTGGAAAGAAGAAAAAGGATTAGTCACAAAAACACGTATGAATGACCCATGGACATGGACAACAGTGTGGGAAGTGACTGTGGGAGATGGAGAGGGGTAGGTGGAGGAGGGCTAAGGGGAAAAAAATGGAGACAACTGCAACAGAAAAACAGTAATACTTAAAAAATTTTAAATACAAAGCATGCCTGGGTAAACATGATAACACTAATCTATCAAATTCCCAACGCTAGTGCCTGTGAACAACTCACACCTTGTGAAAACGTCCTCGAGGACTCTGAGCACCATTGCCCCTCGATGTGCACCGTCCTTGAACTTCCCATCAGCATTCACACGGCCGGATCTAAAACACTCCAAGTTCACACAGGTTGCTGTGGAGTTCACAGAATGTCTTCACCTCATCCCGAGAGCAGTCAACACTTAATGGGGGACCTCCACCCGCTCTTAAACCTAATGACCAATGATTTTTTCATAGCATTTTCTGTATGTATGTATGTATGCATTTATTTTCAGTCTCTCCCCTACTAGAGTAGGAACGCTCTGAGGACAGGGAGTTCTTTGTTTGGCTTACCACCTTCCTCCCAGCACTTAGAAGAAGTACACGTTTGTTTTGTTTTTTTACATATATTATGTGCTTGCTAGATGTTTACTTAACTATGTCTAACTCTCCTAATGGCTTACTTACAGTGACAGTTACTGGGGTTTTGTGTGCAGGCGGTGTGATTGGATGGATGGGACGTGTTAGCCCCTCTGCTGAGCAAAAACAGATCCTTCGTACTCATGGCATAAAGCTATCTGGACATCCAGCATCCTCTTACTCGGCTCTGACCGAAACGTGCAGGGGAACTTGGGAGTAATGAGATGGACTGAGAGTCAACTATTCAACTTGGCCCACGACTGTCTTGCAACAAGTGGCCATTACCCTCTCTTATACCTTATTTTAGTTTAACAACTTAGTTTCATCCTTTGTTTTTAATCTCCTAGTGACATGGATTTGCTGAATTCTGGTTTTTATTCCACCCAAGACAGAGTTTTCCCTTTTTATGAGGGAAGAGAAGCACCACTTAAAAAGTATATGGTGCTTTTGTCTTTCGTTGTGACTTATAGTTGCTGATTTTTATATTTACTTATAATTTCCTTGTTTCTCCCCCTTTTTTTTGTAGCTTGTTTTTCCCCCCTGGCTTTTAAATGATAGTTTAGAAGGCTGCTTTAAAAACTGCACTTAAAAAAATTCTCAGTATCAAAAACAAAATAAGTATTTATTCCATCCTGTCAAAAGTGAGAAAATCAGCAGACTGTTATTTAGACTCATAAAATCCTCTTTTTCTCAGTTTTTATTGACACAATAGCAAATCATAGAACCTAGATCACAATTGTTCGTTTTTTTTTATACTACACATCCTCTCTTGAAGTAATTATTTATATTAACCTTCTCTTTGGTAACATATTTAGGACAAGCACTCCGCATTAACGCTATGCATAATTAGCGTCTACACTCACTGTGGGTCATTTCACCCCATATTTCCTTATTCTTATTTTCTCCACTTTGATTCATTGCTCAGCCAATTGCTCTTTGAAAGATTTATGAGAAGCCGGGCACGTGGGAGTCCGTGGATCCTGAAACTGTCTTTCTGATGTATTTGCACAAAAACAACAACAACTTGGCTGATAAGGAGTTAGTGGGTTATAACATTTTCCCCTCAAAAATCCTCCAGGCTTGGCTGCACCATGCACTTGCTTTTCCACGTGAAGGAATCTGGGAGGGGCCAGGCAGAGATTTGTCACACGGAGAACAGCTTTTCTTCCCCTGCGATCCTGTCACCCAAACTGTTCGGGAAAACCGGATACCACCTGCAGTAACTTGAAACAGGGTGTAGCCTTTCTCTCTTCAGAAAACTACAACACTCTGAGAATGCAACAGCCCCCACGGCTTTTTCTCTCTGTTCTCGCGAGGCCAGCTCTACCCTGAGGACGACTGGCCATCAGATCCTTCCAGGTCCACTCTGGCTTGTGTCTCACTCCTGTGAATGTCTGATCCAAAATGGGAGGCTGTGCGATGTGGGCTTGAAAGCAGAATCAACTACCGGTTATGAATGGGCAGGCCTTGCTCATCCTGGACGTAGTAACAGACACTGTTTCCTCCACGTGGTAGCTTCAGACTGGGGCGGCTTTATTCCCAATGGGATAAAAAATGTCTTGAGAAGGGGGTCCGTTGTGCGATGCTTGAGGAGTTGACCCCCTAGAAGTCCTGCCTGGCCTGTTCTCCTGCCCAGGGCCAGAGATGCTCAAGGTCCACTTGTCAGGTTTTTGGGTTCTGTAAACTTGGTCTCTGGCTGGACTTTTATGGGAATCTTTGTAGGAAGTTTAACAGAGTGTGAACCGAGCACAGACATCTATCCCCCTCTTTGCAGTGAGCATGCCCAACAACACCTCCTGCTGTGTCTCCAAGAGCAGGGAAAGCCACACCTTGCCAGAGCTGGGCTGAGCCAGAACCTGGCTGGTACTGGAAGCGGAGAATCAGGAGCAAGACGGGCCCTGAGAGGCTCCTGCCCACCCTCCCGTCTTCCTCCTCAGCAAGCCAGTGTTTTATGCAGAGGCAAGACCGATGGACAGGTGGGAGGCAGTCTGGCTGCTTCTCTTTGTAATGTTACCGTCTCTGTGACGAGTGCTGCCTGAACCAGTAATAAATGCAGAGCTGAAATACCAAGGTGGAATTTAAATGGGCCTGTGGACATTTTAAATGTTAATTGGTTCCTCAAACCAGGTTTCTCACAAGGTAATGAGTGCCGCTGAAAGACTAAACCCTCTGTTTTCCACCAGAGCCTGCGCAGGACGTGCAGCACACACTTCACCTCGCCTTGCTTTTGTCTCAGCTTTCCCTCCTCCAGGGACCCTCCCACTGTTCGGATACGCCGTGGGGCGTGGCACACTCTCCACTCCGGTGCATTTCCATCAGGGCACGTACAACGTAACCTTAACGTGAACTATGGGGCCTAGTGTACATCAGTGGTTCATCATGCATGAGCTGAATGAAATATGTTAACATGGTCTATGTCCACAAAAGCATCATGGGTGGGAGAGACAGACTTGTGTCTCAAGAGGAACTAAAGATACTAGCTTGCAGACACTAAGACCGGAGGGGTGTGTTTGTGAAGAGGGCGAGAAGATGCTACAAAGGATCTTCTGTAACTGAAGGAACACCACTGGGAAGGTGACTGTATTAGTTCTGTTGGTCCCTAAGGGTATAAATCCAGAGCAATGCACAGAAACCACATAAAAGACATATTTTGATAGATGAAATACTTAATACAGAAAAGAGGTTACCTTGTCTTTGGGAGAAAAAAATATTTTCTAATGTGACTAACAGTCATCATTAAGCAGCCAGTGTTCACCAATTAACTAAAATATGCTTAGTACATTCATAGATATCAGACTAATAGGTATTTTATAGACTGGAAGGAAATTAAGATTCAGGCCATGTGATCTGTCCCAGTGAACACCATTTTTTTTATCCTCTAATACAGAGATCTGCAAAATTTTTCTGTAAAGGTTCAAGTGGCTTCATGGGGCACAGAGTCTGTGGCAACTACTCAGCTGTACTGTTGAAGCATCCAAACGGTCACGAGACTATACAAATGAAAAAGTATTTCCATAGTAAAACCAAAATAAACCTGGCCAGGCAGCTCGGTTGGTTACAGTGCAGTCTCAATACACCAAGGTTGCGGGTTTGATTCCCGGTCAGGGCACATACAAGAAGCAACCAATAAATAAATAAATAAATAAATAAGTGGAACACCGAATTCCTTCCTTCCTTCCTTCCTTCCTTCCTTCCTTCCTTCCTTCCTTCCTTCCTTCCTTCCTTCCTTCCTCCCTCCCTCCCCCCCTCCCTCTCTCTCATTAATAAAAGAAAAACTTTAAAAAAATTAAACAGCTTATGTGCCAAAATGAAGGTATGGAACTGGATTAAGCTCACGGACAGTGTCAACATCTGCCCTAAAGCCACACTGCCTTCTCACCTGAGAAAGGGAAATGCAAACAAGACAAGCAATGGCCTCCACGTGGCCGTACTTACGCCATTGGCTTTGCTGAGTGCTTGGAAGTAGATACTGTAGCTCTTCAGAGGGGAAAGAGGGGGGTTCCAGTAGCCATTGTACGTCTTGTTGTCGCCCACTGTGAAGGGCTGAGTGACGGGCAGGTTGGCGGGCTTCAGCTCAGCCGCAAAGTAGTGCAGAGAGTCGAGGCTGGAGGCGTTCCTATAGCTCACAGGCACCGAAAAGCACTCGATGATGTCGGCTGCCCGCCGTGACTTCTGCAGCCTCTCCTCCTTGACGACCAGCTGATAAACACTGGACAGGACAGAGAAGAGGCAAATGAATGCTACCTGGAGGGGTGGACCGGTTAGTCATTATCGGCACTTCTGTCGACAGCTAAACCTCCCGCCTGGGCTTCAGACTTACAAACTTCTGCTCTGAAGAAATCTCCCTCCCAAAGCCAGTTCACACGGGATGTGTCCTAAATGCAACTTGGTCCCAACCCCTACAAACCTGCTGCTCCTCCTACATTCATTTCCTAGGGAAGGGTAGTGCTGCCCATCAAGTGGCCAGATCTTGCATGTGGGGCTCATTCTCAATTCCTGCTTCCTCGGATCTCACTCTGCACCTCTAATCAACAAGCCCGGTTCACTTGACATCATCGGTCTGCACCTGCTACTCCGCCTTTTCCTCCTCCCACTTGTAATGCTGATGGGCACTTCCCCACCTCTTACCCCGACTCAGCTGGTCTCTTTGATTTAACTTAACTGATCAGCTAACTAGTCAGTCCATGGATCTTCCTAATCCTATAGCACTGACCCTCTTCAAATACTTTCACAGGCTCTCCGCTATTTGGATGAGAGAAACTCCCCACCCTGGCATTAGGGACACTGTGAGCCTGGTGCCCAGTCCACCTCTCAGGAGTCTGATTAAGGAGAAGAGAAGAAACAGCAGCTGTAAGTTGTGTAAGTTTCCTCCCCCTGATGCTTACACTTAGGAAGCAGTCTGGGAAGAAAGAAAAGAAGGTGGGTATCATTTTTGTTTACTGTGCTAACTTTGTCTCACCATCATTGTCTTGAAAATATATTTATTTAAGCTCTTTTCACCTGGCTGATAATAATAAAATCATATCTAAATGAGCATAACTCCCCAAAGTCCTATTTTAGTACAAAGGAAGGGGTTGCAATAACCTACTTAGGGTTATTTGTAAATAACAAGATTGTTTTCCCTGGGCTAGAAAACTCCTGATAGTATGAGAGAAGAATAACTTCAAATGCTCACCTCACAACATGGAGCATTTACTCACACACTTTCCCTCCCATGACACCTTCTCTATTTCTCCCAAGGAGAAGACAGGCATTTGTGACTGTATTTTCTGTGTAAGCTAATGTGAGGATCTTACCTTATAGGTCCCTGAGAGCTATACTGCAGCCCTACCGCAATGCATAAGGCAAGGAGAGTTTGAACCTTCTGTCACCTCCCTGGTTTTGGTGTCCTTGCTGTGTGCATCACCTTTGATGTCCACTGTGCATCCTCTTTGCTACAATGACTGACCCCCAACCCTCTTCTCCCCAGCTTCTCAGACCCAGGCTTGCCAGCATTTACTCTCGGTGTCTCCTGAGGCAAGAACACTCTACTCCAGTCCCAAATCACAAGACCTGCCACAACTCCTAGAGGATAGTTGCCTCACATACTTTTAAGAGCAAAGCTGGCAGGAATTCCTCTGCAGGCTTCATAGAGCCCTGCTGCTAGACTGCCATGCTTCCTTGGAGTCTCAAACTAGTGGTTTAGATGAAGATGCCTGCTTCTCTGAGAGAGACCAGCGACCTATCAGAGCCATCCATCCATCACCGACACAACCTGTGCCTTTTTCTGTATTTAGGGAAGATGTCCCCAGCCAGAGGCTGTGTGCATCCAGGACGTGGACATCCAATGGCAGAGAGTACACTGCAGCTCAAAGTTGAAGGCTCCTTGACTCCAGAAGGGCACATTTGGGCTCATGTTCTCCCAGAAACAGACTTGTTTTAATTCAAGTTCTTCCAGAAACAGACCCTACACCAAGGTTTCAATGCAAATGATGTGTTGTTAGGGAAGGGGACCCCGGAGAAACCAGGAAAGGGATATGGGAGAGAAGAGGGGAGGGAGCCAAGTAAGGACAGAGTTTCAGGCAAAGTTCCAGTCTTGGTATGATCCTAACGGGAGCTCTGGAGTATAATCTGTACCCAAGACATAATCTCATCTCAACGGGTCTCCCGGCACCAGTCAGCTATTGGCTGTGCACTCCACTGTAGAGACATCCTGCATAGCTCCGGGACCAGCACCTCCCCATCTCCTCTACCCTCCAGCCTCTGACATCTGCCACTCTACCCTCGGCTCTTACGAATGTGACTACTTTAGACTCCACATGTAAGTGAGATCATGCAGGCTTTGTTTTTCTGTGTCTGACTTATTTCACTTATTATAATACCCTTCCGATTCATCCATTCATGTTGTTACCACTGATAGGATTTCCTTCTTTTTTAAGTCTGAATAATTCTCTATTGTCTCTACACACCACACTTTCAATTTCACCAAGGTCACAGGACACAAGATTGATGTACAAAATTCAATTACAAGTTTATCATTAGCAAAGAGCAATCTGAAAATGAAAGTAAGCAATTTCATTCACAGTAATATAAAAAATACTTAGAAATAAATTTAAACAAAATAATTAAAATACTAAAAAGTTCAAAACATTGCTGAGAAAAATTGAAGAAGATCTAAGTAAATGGAGGCATGGTCTATGTTTATGGTTCAGAATAGTCAATATTAAAAAGATGGAAATTTTCAACAAATGTATCTATAGATTTAAGGCAATCTCTACCAGAATCCCAAGACACTTTGTCTAAAAACTAACAAGCTGACACTAAACTGAATATGAAAATGCAAGGATCCATAAGAGAAAAAAATTTAAAATAATTACAAAGTTGGAAGTCTCATAGTTCCTGATATTATAATTTATGAAAGTCAATACAGTTGATAGGTGTAGAATAGACTGATAAATCAATGAAAGGGAATTGAAAGTCCAGAAATAAACCACTATATTTATGATTGATTGATTCTTGACAAGATGCTAAGACAATTTCACGGTAAGAGAATAATCTTTTAAGAAAATGATGCTGAGTTAATTAAATACTCACATGAAAACATATAAATTTAAATTTATACTACATAAGAACTAACAGATCTAACAGATCATACCATAACAAAACATTTAGGATCACGGTCCTAAATGTAAGAACTAAAACTATAAAACTCCTAGGAGAAAATCTTCATGACCTTTGATTTTAAAAAAAGGTAAGTAGAGTCAACACCAAAACCAGAAGCCATTAATGGGAGAAAGATATATAAAGTGGATGCCATTAGACTTCTTTTTTTAAAATTGGGCTTCAAAATACACTATTAAGCAAATTAAAAAAAAAACAAGCTAGGCATTGAGAGAAAATATTTGCAAATCATATGTGTGTATAAGACTCACATTCAATATACATAATTACAGCTCAATAATAACAAGACAAACACCCAATTAAAAGATTTGACTAGACATTTCTAGAGACAAAATACAAGTGACTAATAAGCTCATGCAAAGATGGTCAACCTCACTAGTTATTGGGGAAATGTAAATTAAAACCACAATGAGGACTTCCGCCAAGATGGAGGCATAGGTGGATACGCCATGCTTCCTCACACAACCAAGTTTAGAGACAACTAAATATTAGCAACAGAAAACACAGCCAGAACACAGAAAATTGAACTTTTCGGAAGTCTGATAACAACAAATTCTTCAGCCTGACCGGTAAGAGGGGCGAAACCAGCAGCTGGAGGAGCAAGGTTGCACAGGAAAACTCCGTCAGACGGACTCAGGAGCGCGGAATCCAGGCGCAGGGACCTCGGGGAAACAGCAAGGGAGGAGGGCTGCGGGTTGACTGTGGTCGAGCATCTGTGCGTGGATAGACAAGCGAGGGAGTGGGCAAATGGACGGGACCCAGCAGACCCCAGTGGCGAGCAGCAGCTGAGGACGCCGCCATTTCCCTGCTCTGACCCCGCCTCCACATATAGCGTCATAACCCAGCGACCCAAGTGGCCCCGCCCTGGTGAACCACCTGAGGCGCTGCTCCTCATCCAGTGGTGGTAAACAGCAGAGGGGGCCACCATTTCCCCGCTCTGACCACGCCCCCACATACAGCATCACAACCCAGCGACCTGGGAGTCCAAGGCGCCGCTTCTCACACTTAAAGGGCCAGAACAGACCAAAAATGGCTCAACAAGATCTCAAAGCCCCAGAGCCTATAAATCTAAGTGATGAAAAAATAGAAAAACTCTCAGATGCACAGTTTAAAATACTGGTGATCAGGATCCTCACAGAACTGGTTGATTATAGCCACAAATTAGATATACATATGAGGGCAAAACTAATTGAAATGAATGGAATTACACAGGAAATCAATAGCGATGAAAAGGAAACTGGGTCTCAAATCAATGGAGTGGACCAGAAGAAAGCAAATAATGGCCAAACAAAAAAGAGTCAAGAAGCAAGAATTCAAAGAAATGAGGAGAGTATTAGGAACCTCCAGGACATCTTTAAACGCTCCAACATCTGAATTATAGGGGTACCAGAAGGGGGAAAGGAACAGCCACCAGTGGAAAACTTATTTGAACAAATAATAAAGGAGAATTTCCCCAAGCTGGCAAAGGAAATAGACTTCCAGGAACTCCAGGAAGCTCAGAGAATACCAAAGAAGTTGGACCCAGGAAGGAACACACCAAGGCACATCATAATTACATTAGCCAAGATTAAAATGAAGGAGAGAATCCTAGAAGCAGCAAGAGCTAAGGGGACAGTCACCTACAAAGGAGTCCTCATCAGACTGTCAGCGGATTTCTCAAGAGAGACCTTACAGGCAAGAAGGGGCTGGAAAGAGGTATTCCAAGTCATGAAATCCAGAGACCTACAACCAAGATTGCTCTATCCAGCAAAACTTTCATTTAGAATGGAAGGACAGACAAAGTGCTTCTCAGATAAGATCAAATTCAAGGAGTTCATCATCACCAAGCCCTTTTTATATGAAATGCTAAAGGGACTTATCTAAGAGAAAGAAGTTTAGAAAACATGAACAGTGAAAGGACAGCAAACTCACAGTTATTAACAACCACACCTAAAACAAAAGCAAACTAAAAGGACAGCTAGATCAGGAGTGGAAACATAGAAATGAAGATCTCAAGGAGGGTTAGCAACAGGGGAGTGGGAGGAGGAGAAGGGGGGAGAAGGTACAGAA